AAAGTTTTATGATGTTCATTTGTGAATATGTGATGAAAGAATGCCCACATAATATAATAAAGTAGTGTGTACATATTGAAAAACTGTAATCACGGTCTTTCACAATCATTGTTAATTTGAACAAATGACACAATCTTCATATGAAACGTTCGCTGATGAACATACTTAATGAATTATGATGGTGAACATTTCAACATTCACATCCAGACACTTCCCACATTAAGCATTAAATCAGCTATAATTTCATTAAAGGTACCAATTTGTGCAATCATATACAGTGATTCATCTAGTTTTGTACGGTGTTTCTAGTTATAGTATGAATAATGTATGTCGTGTTACCTTATGAAAGATTTCACACACAAACATGGGCTTCTAATGATAGCTTATGAAGTACATCTGTGCATCTGTTGATGTTGTGAAAATGTTCACATAGAGGTGTGCTCGACGAACACATAGCAAATATGAACATATGTACAACTCATGTTCATATGTCGGCCCTATGTTCATGTGAACAACATCTGTGTCTTGCAATGTAAACACTATGTTCATATGGTGTGATGTTTTTCAAAATCATGGATCATTGTGCCTGTGTGCAGATATGAACATAGACTGCAATCGCTTTCTGTTCATGCTGATGATGTTCACATGGAGGCAACGATACGAACATACAGCAGATATGAAGATAAGTTGTACATATGGGGCAATGTTTTTCAATATGCACTCTGTTCATATTGCTGATTCCGTTATGATCACACTGCATTTGAATGTGTAAACGACCACAGTCGCTGATCAAACATGAACACATGGGAACATGGAGGCAGCAAAAATGTCATGCATCGTATGACATCGTCCCCATGTTCGTGTGAACAACGATTGTGTCTTTCAATGAAAACAAGTCGTTCATATGGTGCACATATATGAACATAGACTGCAAGAGATGCACATATATGAACATTTTCAAAATCAAGGATCGTTGTGCATGTGTGCAAATATGAACATAGACTGCAAGCGCAATATGTTCATGTTGATGATTTCTGTGTTCATACTTCCTTTGGATCTGTTCATATGTTGTATGTCTTATTATCTCCTGACATTGTTTCATATTTTGTAATGTGTTTTTTGAACATATGTAGTACCGGATAATGCATCAGATTCTTGGACGATCTCAACTATATTACAAGCATATTTAATATACAACAAAAGGTAATGGTTGTCCATCAATATACATGAAATACTAATCACTTACCAATCAGAACGCTTTGACCGTCTTCTTCATCATCGGTAATCGAATTTCGACCGTATTCATATCCGGAATCAAGTTTATCGTTTTCATTATTCTGACATTCTTTTACAATAGGATTCTCCATGTATCTTGGACGAAACGAAAATCTTGTACACTTAGACAACCAATTTCACTATATGTTAGAACATGAACATGAAATAATAAAGAAATCAGAAAAATCTCATGATCAATTAGAGGTATCTTTTAAGATTTGTAACCCCCAATTAATTATTAGGGGGTTACAAAAAGGTTAAATTACCAAATTACCCTTATCTTTAATTTATAAATTAGATTTGAACCTAAAGTCAAGAAAGAATGTGATTGGTTGGTATCGGTTCACATAGTTTGCACAATATGGTTGGTTTCTATTTGAACCAACCTCTATATATATATATATGCGTAGGTAAAGGATTGTATGAGGAGAGTTAATGTGAGAAACGTAAGAAAAAATCTACATCTTTGAATGCACATTAGAATGAGGGCAACGAGATGCATTGTATCAGTCCTCGTATCAAGCGTGATTCATGGTGGGCTTTGAGATTAAAAGTGATCAAAGGTCCAGATTTCTTCTTAAGTTTCTCATCTTAACCTCTCTTCTCACACGATCCTTGACACACACATATATATACATACATACATATGTGTGTGTGGAGGTTCAAACGAGAACACCTTTATCATATGTGATAATACACGTGAGAAACCTAGCGGTGTGTAGACGACTTGGCCCACAACCTAGGTTGCGTCAAAGGTCGTCTACGTCTCTAATTTAGTATCACATATGTTGGATCTTAGTATCACATAGAGAATACTTTTATCACATGTGATAATATACGTGAGAGGGTCTAGTGGTGTGCGTACGACTTGGCCCGCAACCTAGGTCGTGCCAAACATCTTTCACATCTTTAATTTAGTATCCTGTTTATCATATGTAATAGAATATAGTATCATATGTAATTGATTATAGTAGATTCTCATAAAATGAATCTTATATACAAGAAAGAAAATGCATGATGCGATCAAATTACGAAAAGACTTGAAGCAATCATGACTTTACACCAATCTAATGAAGGGCTAAATCAAAACAATGGCAATTTTGTAAATAATAAGAAAAATCCAAGCCATTTTTTAGAATGGTAAAATTTATTTAAGGGTAAAATAGCAAATAGAAAACGAGATTCTCTAATTAAATGAAAAGATTCACGTCCAAACTAAAATGTAAAATTAAAGGATCTTTGCTCTATTGGTATGTGAGTTTTTGGTTTCTTAGGAGGTTAGGAGTTCAAACCTCATTAAATATGATAAAATGTGTGAGTTTATTTGTTCTATTTATCGTATATAAATATTATATACTTTAAAAAAATATTATATTAAAACAAGTAAATCATCTAAATCTAATTTCAAGACTCGCGAAACACTAAAGGGTTGTTTGACAGTTGTTGAATGGTTTGGTGCAAAATGATTAAAAAGCTCTCATGATATAGTGCAAAATGAATTATAATTGTTTGGTAATTATTTACTATGAAATTAGAACGCCGAATGGTTAAGGGAGATCCAGGATACAAAATCATTCAGAATGTTTTAGAACCATTAAGAGGCAAAAAAAAAATTGCCAAACAAGATTCACCTTTTAACGATTCAAAAGTTACCTCTTAATAAAACTATTAAGAGATAAATGAACAACCCCTATCCCTATTTTTCATCCATATCTTTCTCCACTACACCCTCACCACTTCATCTCTCTCTGTTGAAATAATCCATAATGTTAGGGTTTTATTTGTAAATCTGAATTCAATAGAGATTTATGTTTCTCATATGTATGCAATAATCAAAAGGGGGTGTCTAATTGATTTGAGCTTGAGTTCCAAATATTAGAAAGTGTCTGGAGGTCTCATATACGAATCCAAGGAGGAATAAAAATTTTCTTACGGCCACGAGGCTTAAATGTGTTGACTCCGGGATATCCACAAAACGGTTGGTTGTCTTGAAATTAGTCGGCTTGCATAGCTGGTTGAATATCTAGGTTAATAAAAAAAACTTGATTCAATAAGATTATCCTTAATTGCGTCTTTTCTTTTTGTATTTCTCATATATGAATTATCACGTCTAAGAATAAGTCCATGTTTATATATTATCACATGTGATAATAGATTCGCGTATTTACACTATAATTTTTTATATGGCCAATAGGTATTGACGTCTATATATAATCACATGTAATATTGCATATTAGAGTAAATTATGATTTTCGTACTTGTTGCTTGTAAATAATTTATATTTTTTTCCCTGTGGTTTAAAAATTGTGATTTTCATATCTATAATTTGCAATTTATTATTCTTTTCATCCCAAGACTAATTCCTACTTTCAAGTACAGTAGACCACAGTAAAGGATTGTAAATCACAGGGACCGATATAATAATAAATTGTAAATCATAAAGATGAAAACAACAAAAAATTACAAATTATAAGGATGAAAACTGCATTTTCTAAACCATAAAAATGAAAATCACAATGTTTAACAAACCATAGAGACGAAAAATGTAATTTACTCTTTATATTAGCAACATATTAACCTTTGGTATTATAACATCTGATATATTTAATAGATCCACATTTACTTTTACAAATATCACTATTAAATAAAGGGGTTTTATCAAGAAATTTTCTGACGGATTTTTTGTCGAAAAATTATTGTCGGATTTCTAACAGATCCTAAAAAGATAAGAAAATCAACTTTTGTTAACTTCTGTAACAAATATAACCATAGATTTTTTTTTAAAATTAAACTAATTTCGATTAATTTATCGACGGATTATTTATTTATTTATTATTTAAATAAGCTCTCATAAATCTGTCACAATAGGGTCCAATTTTTTATAAAAAAAACTAATTAATATTAATTAGTTAAAATTTATGGCAGATTTTCGATGAAATTTAATTAAGTATTATCCGTCGATACTCTGGAAAAATCGTTTTTTAAAAGTTGCCGACGGATTGAGGATCCGCCAGAATTTTCTAGAAAAAAGTTTTTTTTTTAACATTTTCTGGAAAAAATATTTAAAAAACCATTTTCAAAAGTTTTTGACGGATGCGTGAATCACCGTAAGTTTCAAAAAATGTTTTTCTTTAAAAACATATTCTGTAAAAAAGGATATTTTAGAAAATAAATTTTAGAAATTTCCGACCGATTGGAGATACGACGACCGCCGGATTTTCTAGAACATATTTTTTTTATTTTTCTTTTAAAAACATTTTCTGAAAAAAAATTTAAAAATAAAAGCAAAATTCGTAAAATAACAACCTATTTTTACAAATTTTCTTATTATAGTATTATATTTTTAATTTTTTTTATTTATAGCATTGTACTTTCAAATATTTTTTATTAGGGCATCGTACTTTTAAAAATTAACCGTTATAGCATTGGTTAACTTTTTAAATTAAATTTACTCATTATATCAGGTTTTTTTGTCATCACATTGTCCACGTAAGCTCTCTACATGTACGATTGTGCTGACATGACATTTCTTATTATAGTATTGTACTTTCAGAATTATTTTATTATAACATCATTAATTTCTATTATAACATTGTACTTTTTAATTTTAATATTTTTATCATTTAAACATTGTAAATTTAATCAAATATGTTTACTAAAAATTATAATATCAGAAATTAAACATATTGAAAAAAGATCACTATTTCACGAATAAAAAACCATTCGTTCATTAAGTTTATCGTAAATTTCATTGCTTACTTTGTAATACCAAAAACTAAACATGTGTAACATCTTAAAAAAACTCATCCTATTCAAATTCGTCTAACAATGATATTTAATCAAGTGGAACCGTCTTGTCACAATTACTATCTTCTCCATCTTTCTCAACAACATTTTTCCGTAGGTTGTTTAAAGTTATTCTTTCATTTGTCCTTTTTTTGGGGATGAGCTTTGGTCATGATTCCACTTGAGATGGTTATGTTTAAATTAATGAACAAATTAGTATGCAATTGATATATAAAATGTATGAAACTCAAAGATTTCACGTTACCTTTTCAACACCCCTTTTTGAACCGGTTCCGCCTCGTCTATCCAATGTTATAACGGGTAAATTTTTGAAAGTACGATACTCTAATAAAAAATATTTTGAAATTATATCGTTGTAATAAAAAAAACTGAAAATACAATACTATAATAAGAAATTTTGTAAAAGTAATTTGCTATTTCGCACATTTCCCATGTGTAACAGATTATCCTATGTGGTTTCCATGTCATTTTAAGTTTGACACGTCAACAAAGAAAAACTTGTTCAAAAGGCAGCATGTTACCCAATGCTATAACGGACAAAATTTTGAAAGTACGATACCCAGTGGCGGACGTAGAAAAATATATTGTAAGGGGCATAATATAAGATAAAATAATAATTAACTTCAATTTCATACAATAATGATAAAAAGTTACATTTTACAACTGTGCCCTACGACTCTTCGTCTTTTGAAATTGAGTAATTACATCATCATTTGAAACTGCGAGAAGTGCTTCTTTTTCTATAGTACATATCATTGCAGCATTAAAAAATTCATCACTGATTTTGTTGCGCAAATTTGACTTCACAATCTTCATAGCAGAAAAACATCTTTCGACTGTTGCGGTAGCAACTGGCAAAACCAAAGCCAACTTCAATAACTGATNTTATGTATTGATGTAAATAAAATTATATATAGTTTTATATATTTGTGGATTCAATTTTCCTTTATAAAATAATGAAAAAGGAGTTAAAAAAAGTAGAAAAATGAAAGGATTAACAATTAATGTGTTGATTGTATATTAAAATAAATCAAAATAATAAGAAAAAAGATAAATCAGATAGAAGTGTTCTCATTGAACAACATTTTGGTTGTTCCTTATATATATATATATATATATATATATATATATTGGAAACCGATGGGTGAGGTGGTTCCACATATAAATCCCTCCGCCTACCAAATTATAATTTATGTAGAAAACTAATAGGTAACCCCCACCTACCCAAGTAATACTATTTATATAGGGTGGTTTTTATAGCACATCGTTGACACCGAAGAGTTGGATATCTACTGCAGCAGATAGCTTGGCTAAGTTGACTCTGTTTCCTTAGAGGTTGGCTTTGTTTAGGCAACCTGTTTTCGGTCTATGGTTGGACGTTACTGTTGATCATATCTCTCAGTGATTTGATGATAATCCTTTTTATCTTATGAAATGTACTATCTCTTTATTCAGCTTCAACAATCATCACTGGGTTTGTTCAGTGATCGTTGAACATGTATTGTAATTCTTAGAGACACAAGTATTCTTCTGGAAGATAAATCTCACACCAAAGAACTTTCAACGATATCAAAGATAAAGCTGAATACAGAGACAAGCAAGTTCGTGATTTGATGCGGTTTTCAATGATAACAAGTCTGTCTACACAAGTATGAAATCTACTTGAGATTCAACGAACACTGAAGAGACCTCAATGTTATTCCAGTGTTAGCGATCAGATGAATCTAGAGTCACTCTACTGTCTCCAAGTGTGTTTACCTACTTTGGTGGACCTTGTCCATTTTGTCCAAGACAGTTGCTACCATCGGGAGGAGGAGTTTGACATCTTCAGCCATATCATAGTCAATCTCCGTGGCTGAAGGTTCTGCTGCAAAAGGACCTGAAAAAGAAGAATAAAATTGAGCACAATAAAGCTCTTGGTTAGAAGAAATGAAAAGGTAGGAAGATGGTAGAGTACCTCAAGGGTCTTCAACATCATCTGAAGGATTGACGTTGGTTCTCTCAAGGTTGCCTTCGAGATGATAGGCTTCCCGTGACTGAGGCACCTCGAGAGGAGCCACCTCAGGTCCTATGGTGATTGCTTCATCACTAATGAGGACAATCACTAATGAATCACCAACATGTGTTGAGACCAAAGGAGAAGGAGATGAGAAAATGGTTAAGAAAGGTGGGAGTGGGAGTTCAACAATGACAATGCTGATATTCACACCTTCAGTGATTTGGGTCACTAAGGCGGTTGGGAGAGGACCACGTATACGACAGTGTCTGAGGAGATCACTGAAGAGCTAGGTGGGGGTAGAAAAGAGAGCGCCTCAGGGATAAGGCTTATTTCAATGACTGAAACCTACTAGGAGGTAACAACAAGCGACTTGGTTAGCCCCTTTTTGGATTTCCTGGCCCTCAATGAAGGACCAAGATTGGCTTAAGATGATGTCCTCTTAGAGGATATGGTGGTGGTGGTTGGAATACACTGGGGGGGGGGGTTTGCCTCAGTCCTAACCACCTTTGGGAAAGAAGAGGAAGGGGGTAGAGGACATACCTGTGCCATGAGCGATGTCAAGCATTGGTGCAAACATACCAATATCTGCAGGTTTAAACTTGTGGTCCAAAATTCTAGACCCAAGCCTGCAAATAGGCATGCTGCCTTCTGTGGGGTATTTATTGCCAAAGATTTTAGCAAATACCATGTACAGGAACCTGGTGTAAGGCACCACATTTTCTCACTGGCACTTGTTCAACTTCAGCGCCAGGTCTTCGAAAATAATGCCAACAAAGTTGATCTTCATCTGTCGAATGATATAGACGCCAATGTTAAGAGCCACCTTTGAGGCTTGGTCTTGGCCACCAGTCTTGCCTCCCATATATTGAATGAAATGGGAAAACAAGTATTACCATACTGCAGACATGCAATTCTTCTCAATCTTTGACGACGACTTGAGGGGTTCGTTGGAATCCTTCTTGGTTGGTCAGTTGTAGCCAATATCATCAAGGCATGAGATGATATCTTTAGACTTCAATGGAGGGTTCACTGGAGTATGGACCCTTGGGAAGTTGGAGGGCGGTCTTTAAAGTGACAATGCCAAAACTGACAGTCATTATGTTGAAGGTGAAGGAGATTTTCTCCACCTGGTTCTCAGTCTTGTCAATTTTTTGCCTCACTTCAGCAGTAAACCAAAACTGCTGAAGGAATTCCTTGACCATGACAGGTTCATAGGTTAGTGTATGGGCAATAGAAGAGTTCTTGAGGAAGTTAACAACATTCTCGAAATGGGGTTTGTTGATGGGGATGTCCACAAGCCCAACATGGTTGTTTGGCTTGAAAGACACTTCATCGATGGAGAAGTTCACATTCCTGGCTGCCATTTCTATTTAAAAATAAGATAAAACAGAAGATAGTACAAGGTTGTTAGAATGTTAAACTTTTAAGTTTTGAAAGAGAAAAATTCTTTTAAAAAATTTACAATAAGATTTAGGGTTTTTCAAGATGAATAAATGTTTTGAAACTTAGATTAATCTAATAATATAATGAATCATTAATCTGTTTTTTAGTTATTTAAGAGAACGAGTTCTTAATTTCCAACAAGAGTTTCATAGAAAGAGAAGAACAGTTCAATATAAAATGAAAGATTATCAACCTTAGATTCTTGAAGAAGTAGAAAAAGGTTGAAGGTTATTTGAATGTTCTTGAATCTTGCCTTGCAAAAAAGTCTTTGAGAGCAAAAGTTCGACGAGAATATTTGAAGGCGTAAAGAAAAATAGGAGAAGGTATCTCACATACTTATAGGTAGGAGGAGAGAGGAAAAAGAGGAGAGAGAGGGAAAAATGACTCTTGAAAAGATGTGCAATGATGAAAGGTTTGCACATCCTCATCCCTGATTGAATAAAACTCAAAGGGTCGCATGTGTCAGAGGGACACACGGGTCTCAAAAACCATTTTGAAAAAAAGAATAATGATGTCATATAGAATATGACCGTTCATTATCTATTTTCTTTTAAACAAATCACAGGATAAGAAAGGAGTCAATGAAGGTTTTGTTTTAAGAAAAGACAAGTAAATATACCTTATAGATATACTTACTTAAAATGTTCAACATAAAAAAGGGACACTGAAATATTTCTTTTAAAACAATTTGATCACTGAATATGGAAAAATTCAATAATAGTTTTAAGCTCTGAAAAGAAGATAAGTATACATACCTTAGAGAGAGAAAAAAGATACATTTACTCAAGAGTTCAGTGATAGAGTGAGAACACTGAATCATTACACTTATATATCACTGAGTATTGCTTAGAAGATGGAAGATTTAATCCTCAGCATTTAACATTCCAAATTCGCTGATCAAGATGTTAAATCTTGTCTCATCAAGAGGCTTTGTGAAAAGGTCAGCGAGTTGGTACTCAGTTGGTATGAAGTGAAGTCCATTATTACCATTCATAACATGATCTCAATATGTTTGGTATTGGAGTGAAGAACAAGATTGTTTGCAATAGCAATAGCACTAGTGATTGTTTGCAATACCTTAGAGAGAGAGAAGATACATTTATTTAAGAGTTCATAATAGATAGGGATCTTTGAGAGTTGTAGATCATAGTCACTAAGCTGGTTTTTCATCCAAAGAATTTAAGCACAACAACTTCCAGCAACAACATATTCTTCTTCAGCAGTTGATGTAGATACTGAGTTTTGTTTTTTACTCGTCAAGTTCACCAACTTTCCACCTAGAAACTGGCAGCCTCCAGTAGTGCTTTTCCTATCAATTTTGCAACCTGCAAAATCACTATCCGAATAACCAATAAGGTCAAAACCTGAACCCTTGGAATACTAAAGACTCAAGTTAGGAGTTCCCTTCAGATATCTGAAGATGCGTTTTACAGTAATCAGATGAGATTTCTTAGTTCAGATTGATATCGTGCACACGAACAAGTATAGATCAAACTTCTTCAGCATATCTTTAGCATACTTACTTTGATTGATAAAGACAACATTATCTGATTGCATGATTTAAAGTCCTAGAAAGTAAGTTAGTTCTCCCATCATGCTCATATAATATTATTTCTTCATCGTTCAGGGAACCGAAAACACAAAGAGGGATTAGTGGAACCAAATATTATATCATCAACATAAAATTGGATTAAAATGATATGACCGTTGACTTTCCTAAGAAATAGGGTCTGGTCAATCTTTCCATGGACAAATTTCTCATAGATGAGAAATGAGGAGAAGGTATCATACCAGGCACGAGGGACCTGTTTTAACTCATAAAGAGCTTTATCCAATCTATAGACATGATTTGGATACTTGGGGTCAAGAAACCATGGAGGTTGTTCAACATAAACTTTCTCTTGAAGTTTTCCATTTAGGAAATAACTCTTTACATCCATTTGAAAGACTTTGAAGTCTCTATGGGCAACAAAGGCTAGAAAGAGTCGAATAGCTTCGAGTCTAGCCACTGGTGCGAAGGTTTCATCATAGTTGATCCCTTCTTCTTGTTTGTAACCCTGAGCAACAAGACGAGCCTTGTTTTAGGTCAAAATTCCTTGTTTATCTAACTTATTGCGATAAACCTACTTGGTGTCTATCACAGTTTTGTCAGATAGACACATGACAAGGTTCCAGACATGGTTCCTATCAAAATTCAATGAGTTCCTCTTGCATGACAATGACTCAACTAGGGTATGAGATAGACTCATTGATCTTGTTGGGCTCAACTAAAGAAAGAAAGTTAAAAAAGAGACATATATTACACATACCATGACGTGTCTGAATACCTGCACTTGGAACACCTAGAATTTGATGTATTGGATGATCTTTCATCCATCGCTGAGCTGGTAGAGGATTATCATATGAGATTGGAAGCTCAGGTATAGAAGATGAAGCTTCCGCAACAGATTATTCAACAATAGGTTGGATTGCTAAAGGAGCCTCAATAAGCGATTCAACAACTAATAGAGGTTCATAAACTGAAAGATTGTCAGCGACTGAAGGGTCAATGTTTGAAGTAGAAGGAGGTAAGTAACTAATAGGCACTACGACAATCCCTGAAGAGGATTCACCTTCTTTTGTAGTCACATTTGGAACAATAAATGGATCATCATCAGCTTCTGGAGGGTCAGCACTGGGTTATTGCTGAAGGAAGCTTCAGGTTGTCCATAATGAGATATCATCCAGTTGTCTAACTCTTCATGATCGTAGGAGAAACCTAGACCAGTTTTTACCTTGGCAGGGATCTGAGCATTAATGATCTCTGAGGACTTAATGAAAGCTTTACACCACCCTTCAATGGTAGTCTTCTCAGCCTTGAGTTCAATAATAGTTTGCTCATGCTCAACTATAGCCTGTTCATGTTCGATGCTTATAGTTTGGTTACAATAACCTGATCCTTATGATTTTCCTCAATCTTTGTCAACTCTTTGATCTTAGAATGATATCTCTCTAATTGTTCTTGAAGATCAAGATTAATATTTTCAGGTTTGGATTTGCCATTCGGAGCATTGTAAAGGTCAACCGTCAATGTATCTAGTGCAGGTAGGCTATCAAAGGTAGAAGAAGAGGTCTATTCAGGAAACATACTTGAGTAGATGTAGATAACGAGGTATCATTGGAGGATGATGTCTCTGATGGTTCATCTTTGACATCCTTGGCCATTAGACAAAGATAGGGCGTATCTTCCTCTTCATAGGATGATTCTTCAGAAGAATCAACCCGATCATGTTCTTTAGCGATAAGACCTTTGCCTTTGCGCTGAGAACTCTTCATCTTCTTATACTTCTCTTTCAGCTTTAGATATTTGTCATCTCTGGACCTGAAGGATGATAGGGGTTTGGAAAATGGAGTCACAGTCTTCTTAGACCTGCAATCACTTGTAAAGTGACCTTTTCATTGACAATTGTAGCAGATCGCTGAAGCCTTGTCAATAAGATTTGAGTTTGGCTTTTTTTGAAATGGTCAGCGGAGGAGATCTGTAGAAATTACTCTTTCTAGCAAACCTTCTAAAAGATATAGTTAGAAGATCCAGTGACTCATCAAACTCTGAAAGATTAGGATATGACAAGTTTTCAGAGTTAGTAGGGTCTAACTCAGTTAACGAAACAAAAGAAATAGAAGAAATAAAAGGGTATAAGAGTCAGTTGAAGGGCTTTCAGAGATCAAAGCTAATATAGAGCTTTTTCATTTCCTTAGAGTGTTTAATAAGATCGTTCTTCAGCTGAAGGTACTGCTCATAATTGAGCAATATCCCATAAAGAGAACTAAGAGAGAGGGAGGACATGTCCTTGGACATCTTGAAACACATGGTATATTGATCCCATGATTCTGGCAAGCATTCAAGAAACTTTGTCAGAGTCTCAGAGTTGGAATATTCTCTTTCAACTGTTCTTAAATCGATAAGAAGACAATTAAAATGTTGATGTACTTTAGACAACGATTCATTCTTTCCACAAAGAAAGCTTCATATTGTCTTACTAGATTAATCTTTCTCGATTCTTGTACTTCAAAATTACCTTCATATTGAACACATAGAGTGTCCCACATGGATTTCGAGGTTTTGAGCTTCATCACAGAGCTTCATCAGGAAGAGACATGACTATTATAGACCTTGCACGAGTGTCTAAACCCATCTTCTTCTTGTCTTCATCACTCAATTGATGAGAGAGCTTTGGAATATGTCATTTAGAAGTCGCAACAATC